TTATTCCTGACTTGCTAATTTGTGTTGGCCAAACTGTTGTCGTTTTGGTCTGCAAAAAAATACATTCAGCATAAGTGTAATATTTGGAATTGAACTATTTCTTATCATTCATCCACTTTCCTTCGATGAACAAAGTGATTTTAAGCTCGGTAGAACTTCATATTTTAAGGAAGGAATGTGCGACAATCCGTCATCATTCCAAAGACGAAGAAGCAAGGGACTTCACCGATCACGACTTCGTTCTATTCATCCAGATATTTTATTCGTGTGCTTTGAGCACAAGCGCGACTGCAACTTCTCTTTGCTTTACGATTTTGGAGAAAATACATGTACGTAGGGGCAACGGCGCATCGAGCAATTAGCAGTGAAGTATAACGAATTGCACCACAATTCGTCTACTTTATCTTTTTTATTGTCTCAGTCAGTTGTACTTCCCTTTTATCAGTGAACCATCTAGCATTCTAAAATTAGGACTCTTCAGAGCACTTTTAATTACTCTTTGGGCATTGTTATAACTAACGACAAATCACACCGAGCATTATGTTATTAAAGAAATCTATCAAAAACCTTATCCGAGGCAGCCTAAACTAATTGAGAGCCAATATCGAGCTAATTAAAAGCCATAAAATTTGTATTTGATGCTATAATGGTACAGAAATTTGACTTAACGATACTGCTGAGATTGCATGCAGCGTCACTGGCTCCATTTCTGAGCTAAATTTCTTTTAAAGGCGTGCATTGCACAGGACAGTAGTTTTTTATCTACCAGTTCGGTAATCGGTTTCATTTGTTCCCTAATTAATGAAATGCAATTTGCGATTATAATTTATTTTCTATTAAGATTTAATTGTCTTCCATCTTGCCGCAATCCTTTTAAGCGGTTTTTTTTTGGAATTAAGAGGAATAAAAGTTTCTGCGACTTAAAAAGGTGGAACTTAGGAGCCAGTCGACCCGCTCTTGGCGTTAGGTACAACAATTTATTAAGCTCTTACCTTCCGTAGCAATCTCCAAACATATCCAAGCAGGGAAAAAAACCGAACCTCTGTAACCTGTTGCTGCGTGAAACATGCAAAAACAAGACACTTTCGCTCAAAAGAATTTCCACCTTCAGTTGCAAAACAACTCAAGTAAGTATTTCCTAACTAAGATGTTTGGTGAAGAGCTGGAGGTCTGAATGCGTTAATACCTTTAGCACTTTTCTGGTTCACACGAAAATGTTTTAGTCCTCTTCTGGAATTGCTTTTCTGTTAGAGTATCGCCATTAAGTAGCACTTTCAGACAACCTCCAATTCCAGCGTAATGAAATTTCGTCCAGGCCAAAATGTTGCTAAATTCGAGCTTTCTGATGCGTTCCTAAAACAAGACGCTCTATGTTACTCATAGCAAAACTCAATTTTAAGACAATTTGTTTTGTTTGTCTTCAATATATGCTTAAGCATGGTCACATCTTTCAGCATGATAAATGTAAGTTAGTTCATATTCTAATTGATCTCCAATACAAAAATACATTAACAAAATTCATAATTATTGCTTATTACCACGCCATCCATCTCATTCACTTGTGTGATATGCTGAGTACGCTGATTGGACGCCTCACTGGGCAGTTCGCCTTCTCCATCGCTGATTGGCTGTTTACTCGATTAATTCGGCCAACTCGCGTGCATTCAATCATCTAAAAATCCATACGCTTGACCACATCAAGACAATTTAAACCATCTCGCCGACATCAGCAGCAGCTTCTCTTGGAGGAAATGCAAACAGATTTAGGGCTCCAAGATGCCAGGTAATAGCAAAACGCTAAGATTGAGGGAGGTGTTCCGCTTTCGTTCCATGCGACGTCATCAGGAGATGCGTAAAGGCCAGGCGGGTGATTCTTCCGCAATGAGAGAATCAAATGACCCTGATGACTCGGTTCCACCATTGTCTGCAGTTCCAATTGTCTGCGTCCAATGCGACCCGTCAGTCGATGTTGAAGATGACGAGTTCGAAAGAGATCTCTACCGTGTTCGAAGCTTTAAAAGAACCTCCAAGGGACTCATAAGTCTGGTAATTTTATGGCCTCCCTTACAGTAAATTAAAGTCTAGCCATCCGGAAATGAATTAAAAATAAGCTGCTGAGTTAGTTGTCTTATGCCTGAATTATCTTCAAATCTATAGTCTTAATGGTATTAATCATGATTACGGTCTGACTTTGTATGCAATGTTCAAAGTGCGTGGTCGTACTTTCATAACTCTAACTCACTGTTAAATAAATTTAAACCAAGCCCTCTATTTTGGCTGAATTTTTATTTAACTTAATAATCAATTTTGACATTGACTTTGGAGACCATCTCCTAACCAATGGCTGCCACAGCAATAAGTTGAGAATCTTAGTAATCATGAATTGAATTTTGCTTGAATTTTGGGCAAGACCTACATCGGGTGTTTGTGTTCTGGGCTGACTAAATAGTTACGATAGCATTGCTGAGAGTCATCCACCCCAGCCACTTCACAGTCTTTGACGTTCTAACGTACTACTTGACAACACCGCAAGAAGGTCGGCGATACTTTTAACTACAAATTTTGGCTCCTTTTAAATGTCAAAAAAGAGTGAAGGTGGTGCAACATTTTGGTTTGGAATATTGTAAATATTTTGAAATGGAAAAACGGCGAGTTGCCTAAATGAAACTTCTCTCTTTACCCATGCCCGTCACTTTCACTTAATCAAAAGATTAACGATGCCTTAGAGAGTGTTCATGCTCTCAGACCATAAAACAGATGCATCGTTTCTTAAGCAATTTCGTCGGTTTCTTTTATGCACGCATCTGGGTGCGACAATAATTAAGTCATCTTCTGAAGTCCAAGATTAACAACCGCTGCTTGACACCTAACGTACAGGTAGCAAAATAAAGTCGCACAGTTATAAAAATTGTCAGAACACAATCATTGTTGAGGTTCTCTTGGAAGATACATCAATTCAATTTAAGGTGATTTCTCAAAAATTTTAACTTTATTAAAATTTGAGTCTCTGGCGGGCAAAGAGCGTTATCCTGGTCACGGTTGCTTCCGACATACTTATTTTAAGTGTGAATGCCTAATGCGATGAGAGGGCAACCGCCATTTGTAAAGGGAGCGGCGGAGTATGGACGATGAGGAATAAGAATTTGAGGATAACCGCATTTTGCCGCCATTCTTCAGTTCATTTAGAACTGGTGTGCGAGATCACTCAGGCACAAGTTTTGTGATAATGGGTACAAAGGAGCATGGAGAGAGGACAATCAAACCCATATCAGACAAGATATATGCTCATTTTTTGTCCAAATTCGGTGTCGTAACCTTGGTAGTACACGCTCAGCCTGTGGTGAGAAACTCGTGATAAACAGTTCTCCTTTAGCAGATGATGCGGATGGTGGGTGGTAAAGCGATTTTGGAAGCAACGACGAAAGGATTGGTAAAGGTTTGGGTTCTACGCAAACGTTCGTTCGCCGACGATATGTTTTCGCGACGTCAGCATAAAAGTGGACCAAATAGCCCTTTTAGGATGTTGTTGTTGTTGTTGTTGTTGGTGTTGTTGTTTAACATTTGGCGATGTATAGTATTTGGAAACGCTTTGTTTGTTTATGACTGTTTCGTCCTTATTTCACTCACTCACATAGACCTCATAGTGGTGTACTAATTTATTCACTACTGAAATATCGTGTTTAACTGTGGAGAGCCGGCAGAGAAGTTCTGCACATCTGCAGCCGAGTTCTCAAAGCAAATGGTCTTCACTTGCAGCAAGACCAAAATTGTTTTCTTTTTAGTGTTTAAAAAACAAGGAGCATCACTGGAGATACAACTATTCTCTCATGAAGAAACTAAAGTTTCTTCACTGCGAAAATGAGCGAACCTCAATGACCATCCAAAAACTAGTTGGATAGTGGCGATGCAGGTAGAAATGTTTACGTGTTAAGAGCGATCAGATAATACCTTTAAGAATGATTAACATGCACCACAAAATTGCATCTTGCATTCCTTTTTGTTGTTTGCATTCCATTCTCCCCAACTACAGGCTCTCGCGTGATTCATTACAAGTGCGCCTACAATTCTAACCTCTGAAACGAAGTTGTTCTCATGATGGTCCTCCAACACCACGACTGCCACTACCCAAAACAATAATAACAGTCGACCAACATTAAAAGCCATCACTAGCTCTTGCTGTCTCCCTCTGCCCGTTTGATCACGTGCATCCAGTCGTACTTTGTCGCGCCCACTACTCGCGTCGACCCTGCAAAATAACAATAAAGTGTTACATGGGTTGAGGCCTTTTACAGCGGCACCTAAGAAAGCACCCTCGCTTTCATGTCCGCGAGCAACAATCGTGGAGATGGTACAGTTGACAATTTAAATAATGGTCACAAACAGCAATTGCTCTTATCACGTTCGGATTCAAGTTTTTTAAGTTTAATCCCAAGTTTTATCTCCTCTATCCACACACTTAGCAAATTACTTTCCTGAGTCGTAGAGTTCACGATGTCTAAGTAAGAGAATGTTTTGACCTGCTATTCTCCCAAGCAGTCCTATTGCTCTGTGCCAGTTGTGAACTACAACTAAACATTAGTTTTCGGTGAGTACGTTCAAATCGCGGAGCCAACCCGTCTTTGGCAACAGTGTTAACAAACACCTCCCTCTTTGCAAAATTACACATTATCTTGTTTGTATGATACAACTTGTCACGTTTGTCAACCGTATGTCATCTGGTTCAGCCAAATATTTATTAAAACAATCAAAAATAGCAAGCATTTCCAAACCGAATCCCTCATTTCTTTTAAGCGGTTTGGGGAAATATAGTGAATAGAGTTTCAACCATTTCGTTCCAAACATTACCACGGTGACAGAAATGAGAATCGAATTCATCCCTCACGTTGATTGGTAGAAGGACGGAGTGTAAAAGCCTTCAGCACTCATAGAAGAAGATGACGGGAAAATGTTGAAATAAGTTTGAGCAGACATTCGCCACCGAGTAATGTGGGGTTCAGGAAACTAGCTTTACCGCATTTCGATGAATAGATTAAATCATAAAATGTGCGCTTCAGTCGTGCGGCGATTTTGCCATCACCAAATAAAAAATGGAATCATTTCCAGCTGTACGATGCAGTTTACCACAACAGCTTGCCTCATCGTGCCAAATTTACTCGAAAACGTATGGGCACGTCATAAAGGTAAAGAGCATCTTAAAATGCGTATGAAGTGTCACTTTGAATAATGTAGATTCAGAAAAGTGAAAGGCAGAAGCGCAGTGCAGATCTAATCTCGTTTTAACTAATACTGCGCCCGCTCAAACTCAGTCGCAGTGCAAAATGAAGGTCCCTGCTCTCGCACACTGATTTGGGCCACAAAGGTTAAAGTTCGTATCAATAATTGAAATGACGTCAACTTCACAGCTAATGACACTCCTATTGCTAAGTTTCCCCATAAAGTTAAAGTCGATAAAATTAGAATTCGCGACGATTCGAAAATACTTTATAACAATTTACATATCATTCGTAATTGGAATTTTACAGAATTTGTTTCCTCCCCCTATGATAACATAACTTTAGTATGGTTTCTTCAGTTCACTCCCTCTTCTGTTGGTAGGTAAGGTTTCATATATCATTAAAGGCCCAAGCAATTTTGTTGTCGTTCGTTTTTGGCAGGGTGACAGTATCCGTTCAAGCAGCACTACAAAATACAACCATTCTTTCCACACCCCTCGCTGTTCAACAACCAGCGCAATCGTATCGCTAGGGCGGCGTTCAAGACGCTCCGAATCCTATGCACACGCATCAAACTTCAGCGCTCAGCGGCAGGAGAGACATTCCACCGCTTATGAATCTGTCCGTGCCAACTTAGAGAGTGAACACTTTTTTTCTCACTACAAGCCCACTTCACCTGCTGGTTCCCTGCGACCTCCCTCGACTTTCAGCCTCTCAAACATAGCGATCCCTGTCAAAGTGCAGATTCTCGGTGGTCCCACGGTGGGCAAGACAATGCTCTGTCGTCAATTCCTCACTGCCGAGTTTATGGGTGGCAAGACGGAATCATGTAAGTGGGGATTATGATACAGCAACTGCGGTCATTTCTGACAGTTAGTGTCACTGCGACAATCATAGAGCTCATTCGAATGTCGATTGAAAGGTGGCATTGTGGAAAACTGGGGGCAAACACCTAAAGTGATAAAATTAATGAGAATTTTTTACCAATTACTCTTTGCTTATTGAAAGAACTCGATGACACTAACCACAATATATAACAGTCTGCACCACCCTATGACAAGTGTTGTTCTTGAAGAAATTCCGAGAGAGCATCAAATTTACGTAATTAACCTCCATAGTAGCCTTTCCGTGGCGCATGGATGAAGGTCAGCAATGAAGGCTTACTCAACATCAAAGGGTGGGTGCTACACATTACTCCAAAGTGTACTTTATCTAATGGGAGCCATTTGCGCTCCTTTTCCTCGCAATCAATTTTGGAGGCCTTCAAAGCCCCACTAAGTGCACTCATCCACACATATATCTTAATCATGCATTTAAGTTGATCGTGAAAATTCAAGACTCAGCAAAATTGAATGAAGGGTCATTCGAGTAGCTAAAAGTTCATCAGGATTCAAAATACTGGAAAAAGTGTTATTATTTGCCTAGTATTCTGCAGTTCAAGTACTAATGGTGATCAGAAAAGTTAGGAACCTTAATGCAACACCGACCTTTGCGAAGTTGACTTTGATAGTTTTTCGGCCCTTTATTCATAAATTAAGTACTATTGACGCATGAAACATTAATTTAATTTCAGATTGGTCTGTTACTAGCGCCTTAGGTTTATGCGAAATGCCCAGCACGCTTTGCCTAGCCAAGGCCTAAAAATGTGGGCAAAAGTACTTAAATATTTGACCCAATTTCGCATCAAATTTAATGCAAATATAGTTAATAATGGAACCGCTTCCCCTTATTTTACGCCACAGCTGTACGATGTTAAATTTGCAGCTGTGTAGCTTCATGCTGCGCAACACGTCTATTAAAAGAATTATTCCTTTCATTATTAGTGGAGCTAATATTTTTCTACTGCCACTTAAGAGATGCCAGTAAGTTCAAAGCGCTCAAATTATGGTTGTGGTCACTATAAAGTAGGCGTGTGTCGACGAGGCATAAATATCCCCCCACGAATGGAGCTAAAATTATTAATACGGATGACTTGAGCCACAGCTCCAAATTACAAACATAGTAGGTGACTTGTGGGGGGATGGGAAGCATTCCTCCCTTTCTCACTTCACCATTACTCTTAATGCTCTTTGTGGTCACCCTTCCGCCTGGGCTGTCATTGGGGAGTAGACAACTGCTGGCATAACAAGAATGGTTATGCAGCTATTTTTCCCAAAGCTTTCTAGTGAGAGATAAAGAGTACATCACAGCGACAGTAAAACTGTTTTAAGGAAGATGTTATTTGAAGGGGACTATAAGTCCTTTCTTTCACATTTTCTCCTTCTGATAGGACGAGTTGGGTTTAAGGGTTATTCTCCCTTTTTATTGCAGGGAGGTACCTGTAATTCACATTTCCTACACCAAGTCTATAAACTATTCTCTAATAGATCTGCTACTATTTATTTTAGTGCACTATCTACCTACGGTTGATACATTTTGTTCTCTTTTAGCGGTATGACGCCCAACCATTTGATTTAGAAGGGCTACACATGCTCGGTAGGTGTAAACTCACCAATTTCATGCACAACGCTGTTACGTGTATGAATTCGCTCAAAGCTGAGAAAATAAGAGGATAGACAACACAAAATCAAAACGAACTAATGCTATAAATTTTAAAAGAAGAAGTGCTTTTTAACAAGATAAACCCAAGGTGATTGAGGCGTGTCAACGGCCTATAGTTTCAGAGGACAGTGTTGAACGCTTTGTGGTGATCGAGGTAGACGGGTGGAATAGGAGCCTTATGCTGATTGACAACATTCGGGAGGAGGCAGCAGAGGAGGTACATTCTGCTGAGGCTAGCCTTGCCTTCTTCCCTCCGACTTGCAACACCCTGGAAGAACCTAATCATCGGCGGCGCGCCACTTCCGCTACTGCTTCCAATACAGGGCTCAAAGACAAAAGTGAAAGCCAGCGACGCAAATCAAGCTTCTGCAACCCCAAAGCGGAAATCGCTGCATTGGATAAGAAGACGCAATATGAAAGTAGCTCGCCCTTGGAGTGTTCGCACCTGGCTATGCGTCCACAAGTAAAGGTTGTTTTCCCTGCAATCCTTAATAGTGTGACTTCGTTTAGTAATCAAAAAGAAAAGTCCTAATTCTTTATAAATAGCGAACTCAAACTGTTACGTCCAAATAGACAGGATAATTTAATGTTGTAAAGCGTGCCAAGCGTCACCTAATTTCAGGCCTATTTTCGAACCTTCTTTAAGACATTCATTGCAATCCAAAATGGATGTCTGATTGATTGGGCAAAAAAGAAGGTTAGGCTTGTAAAATTGGCGTTGTAGCTAACGTGAACCTAGTTGAAAGATTGCTGAAGAGTACTAGCATTTGCTTTTTCATCCTTTGACCTGCAGTGTTGTTCGAATGGCATAACAGCTGGCCACCATTCTCTCAACCATCACCCACCTGATAACTATTTCCTCTCTCACATTTTTGCAGACTTAAAGGAACGGATTTCAACACTTTACTTATCTTTAAAAACTTACCTTTGTTGCTGTTTTGAAGGAAACCCACTTCGGGAGATTTTGGCAGCCATGAACAAATTTAAATTTTCTGAGTAAACTTACACTAATTTTAGTGTGCCGTAAAAACATACTAAGCATAATTTTTAAAAAATACTAACAATGTGTTTTTAAATTATCCTCAAACCGGGACTTTGTACAGTAACGAATCAGAAACACAGACGTTTATGTTCCTTTACTTCAAGATACAAAACGTGATCTTTTCCACCCTCTTGATAATTGCCTTAAGATTCGCTTTATTTTGGCATGGTGATTGTGAGCGCAGCTTAATGAGTTAAATGATCCCATTAAGGTGCCACTCAAGGTCATTTTAGGATGCTTTGAATGAAGGTTATCCGATTGAGCAAAGGGTACCTTCCAAGCTCTGCTTGGACTTACGTTTTGTCCTTAATGTAGTAGGTGTTTGTTCGAGTGTACTCTTTGGACGGAGGTCATAATTTCCTGCATAGTGAGGATACTCCAAACCCACTTACTTCTGATGCATCCCTGCGCCCCCTTGTTCAGCACCATCCCATAAAGCGTGTTCTCGATCAACTTTATTGGCAGCACAATGAGACTGTCTTCCTTGAATGGGGACATGGACTTATCAAGGTGGCTCAAATTCGTCAGGGTTAACATCTGGCTCTACTTGGAACTCATAAATGCTCTTCACTTATTAGGTCGTCCCCTCTCCCATGCATCTCTTCCCTGCGGTTACCGACGTCGTTATGACCCAGGACACTAAGTCGGAAATCAGGCTACACCACTTTATCCCAGCTCTTGAGACAGTTGTTGGAGGCAATAAGCTTTATATGAAAGCGATAAATAAGTGAATTTTAAGTGTTTGCAAGATGAGTTTCCTACTCAGTGGTTAATGATCGTCAATTCGTCACGGCATTCGTATTTACCGACTACCTCCGGTCTAAAGACTACGTTAAATCATACATGAACTGCATCGCTTCATAATGCATTGTGCATGCTTCTTCCTGCTCCTCTTAAGACACCTTTTCTTTTACATTTTTCCTTAAAAATTTACCCTCCTAGCGAACACTGCTGCTTATAGGCTAACTATCCGCCAAAGGAATTCACTGAATTCCAGAATAAATTTGTCCCATTGTATGTAAATCGAAGTGCGCATGTTTTTTTCTCATTTAATGATATAACTTTCAGAGTTATCTTCTTAAAGTCAACCCAAAGAAACTGTTGAGACTTTGTACAGGCGAGACTCATCATTGTTATGTCCAAATCACAGTTAGCTTGGCCCACCCAAGAAGTCTCAGTAAAGCACAAGACCTTAACGTTGCCTTTTATTATAGAAGTGAACCAAATTATACGATTTGATAGAGTCAAAAAGAGGTAAATTATTGCGAATTGCTTTGTCTGTCTGCGAAATGCAGAGCATCTACTTGATAGCCTTTTACATTAGCAACCAAGGCAGACTGGTTACACAATGCTTTCTTTGGACACTTAAACAGTAAAGTGCCTTAGAATGGACAGAATCCTGTTTTGTCTTTACAGTCTACAAAAAGATCTTTTGGGCTTCAACTCCGAAGATATTTGCAAATGTGGATTTTAAATGTATTTCTAGACTATCACTAAAGTCCAAGTTGGACTTTCTAACAATAAGTAGTACCATCTGGTTGTGGGTCCTTCGGCTCCAAATCACGAACTTTTGGGACTTTCGGATATCGCTAGTCTATGTCCTGACATAAATAGCATTTGACAATTTGAATCCTTCTATTTTACCGCTTAAGAGAAAGTCTTAATAGATTTTGGTCGCGTAGCAGCACCAATAGCCGTTTTCCTTTGAGCATTGCCTGAAGATTTTTGACTCCGCAAGTCACCGCAAAAGCCGCTGATTATTGGCCGTCAGACAGATGGGTTTTTTGATAAAATAGGATGCTGCTAGTTCACTTCTTTAGGTCATCTTACGGAGTTCTTTCAAGACGACTGAACCTGTTCAGTTATGAGACATTTACTAGAATGATGGAAGCTCTTCAGATGTAGATATCAGAGGAAAATAGGAATTTGTCGAGGATTCATATTAATAAGTGGAAGTATCTGTGCCTTGTTCATGACTGTAAAGGTGTTTGCCATTGTTCAAAATCAGAAACCACTGTGTCCTAATTGTGTTGGTATGGAAGATCCTCTGTCCTCTGTTCTACAACTGAAGGGGATTCGACAAGTTTCAGTAACCGCAACGAAAAAGCCGTCGATCAATAATTCAAGTAACATGACGGTTCGAATGTCTGACATCCGCTTTCAATCGCTTCCTTTTGGTTGAGCTTCCACGAGGAGGAGCGGCATGTCGAAAAGGTTGAAATAGAAAGTGATTTCTTTTTAAAAGACCGTCTTCTTAGCAGATTAAACTGCATTTTTACAATGCGCTTCCGTACGCGTACTCCTGAGGCCCATGCGAAACCGGTCCTAATTATAATCAAAGCATCGTCAAACCCTCAATTGTGATCGATGTCTCAATATTTTGAGAAGTGAATGGAGTTTACGACAAATCTTACTCACCTGTCGTCCGTTACAAAGCGATGTGTCGATTGTCGTCATTTGATTTTGCAGTTTCAGAGTACAAGTTGAGCCAATGGCATTTCCATAGTGTTATCTTTATAACACAAAGGAGAGCGTTACTTTTTTGGAAAGTGTAAGAAAGGACCCGTAGGTTCCGAAGCCTCATCGGTTCAAGTGGCGAATGTCCTTAACAGGAGACAAAGCTTGCCTATAAATAGCGCTAATTTGCCACGCCTGATGAGATTTAAATCTATGTTGAATTTCATGAGACTGTAACAAGCTAAAAGTGTATAGAGATTAAACAGTTATAAATGTGAAATTACTCCTGAGATTCCGACCTTACTTGAAGGAGAATCCTCGGTGGCGAAGTTTACATCAACAATTCGCAGCTGTCAAAAGAATGAAATCTTGGCTTTCAAGATACACGTACAAAAAATAGGGTAAAGTTTAAGCAAACCTTTTTGCGCAGGAGTGGGGACCATTTGCGTTCCTATTTCTCCTTTTAAATTAGACCCGTAGGTGATTAAAATACATCCGAGAATTTTCGCTAATGGAATTAGAATGCCCTGTCTAAAGCCAAGACTTCACTCAAATAGTTGATTTTGCATGGATTTTAGTAGGGTAAAAATGCTTTGTGTTAAATTTTGGCAAAAATGACATGTGCCCCTAGTTGGTGCATATTCTCGTCTCAAATAAATAAACACTTTCTCAGGAGAACCAAAATAGTTGCGTTTCGGAGGCGTGGTAAAATAAACCATTCTATTAGCGCACCGTCTGTGATTTTCTTCCCTTCCTTTCGCAGAAAATGATATCTAATGATTCTTCTATCTCTTCTCTGTTCGCTCGAGCTCCCTTGATACTGGCAGAAGCACGCTTTTTAAGCTGTTTACTCAGTAAGAGAGAAATCGGGATAATTCCCTTATTTACTAATTCCAAGAGGCGAAGGAATGGACGTTGAATTGAACTTTGCTACAAGCCGAATCTTTCAAATGAATCAGCTTTCGTCTATTTGCTGTGGACTTTGCAAGAGAACGATTTTAATGGATGTATAAATTGGTAGTTTTAAATTTTCTCAAAAGTAATGCCCCAGGGCTTTCTCGAAGACAAATATAGACACACTACTCGGCTAGGATAGTCATTGCAACCGTACAGAATGACTGCAAGTTATCAGCAGTGAAAATGCCGTGCTAAGAGGATCTTCATCATTAATATGAAAATGGATCCCGAACACCAAGTCCATGAGGCAGCTTTGTCGAGGAGGTCTCAGTGAGTAGAGCGAAGAGGATGCCCCAGGAGGTAAAAATAATTGTGCCACGTCGTAAGTTAAAAATTATTGGCTGCAAAATTCGCAATACGTTTGCTTCAATTGAGAAGAAGTTTTCATGAATGCTTCCCAAAAACAGCCCTGAGGTTCCGATGCGGGATTGCCGTGCATATTTTGATACCATCTTGACAAAACCGCAAAACATTTTTTAACTGAGCAATACATCTTGTGGTCTGTTACAACAATGGATCAATTATAGTTCCACCTTCAAATAGGGAACTGAGTCCGCTATTAGTTGTTAAACCAAATCGACAATACGTCACAACCACTGATAGGCCTAGAGCGGTTTTTGGACTTCTTCATTTTCACTAGGTACACCCTTACTTACACTTATAAAGGTTAGGAACACAATTCCAGTAGAATGTTTTTTTATTGCGAAGTAGAAACTGGATTTTAGAAGTCAATTTCATCGAACCTTCCTGGTGCCTTCCTGATTGTTTTCAGAGAGGCCGACAGGTGTTAATGTTGAGTGCCATATCTAAGCTGTTGTGTTTGCTATTTACCATCTTAAAAACTCACGCGGCTATGTTTTGTAGCCCCCTAAGTGTTAGCTACTTTTCAGCTCTGTTGCAAGTATAGAGACCTGCAGAGAGTATCCATATTCGCTATACAGTTTGTGCCCAGATTGCATTGCTATAAGACAAATAATGTATTTAGGCCATACTAACAAGGCTGGTTATTTAACTTTCTCCCAAAAGGCAACAATTACTTTGTAAGAGCGAGGCGACTCAACTTTACCTATTAATTCCCAACTTAGTACTCAAAGTATGAAGTAACACAGTCCACATCAAGAATGCAAATTAATTCACACTTTGCTTGCAGTGACAAAGTCTACCGATTTAACCTCAATTCGAAACATGGTGGAAACTTTGAAGTGTAGCACTTAGGAATTTTGCGTTCTCTTACCTGAATGTCGAATGATGTGCCCAATTTCAGCTCGAAATGCGCATTCTGGACGTGGACATCTACGTTGTCGTGTACGCGGTTGATGAGGAAACGTCATTTAAAACGGCCAAGTCAATAATTAAGAAACTACAGGAAATGAAAAGTGCAAATTGCAAACTCCAACTCCTTTACTTAGTCGGGAATAAAACCGATCTAGTTCGCAGTCGGCAGGTAACAACACAAAGTGAGTGTTTCTTACCTTATCGTTCAGGCATTTGTGAAATTCGGAAAGACTATCTACGACCTAATCTTGCAGTGCCCCTTCACCAATCTAACATTAGGCCTCATTTAGAACTACAAGCTCCATTGTAAACTAATTTTAATCACTTGTATCGTGTTGCTCCGTCTCCTTACAACACGTGTATTAATGGATGGTTCGATGTCAAGTCTAGTATTTCATCGTGATGCATAAATAGTTTTGAAACCGGTCAAGCCCACTTCCTCAGACAACCCTATATGTTTCGATTTTATTCGGACATAAAATTGTTACGCAATCAGGGTAAACAAACCAGAACTTCTTCTAGTTGTTCGTCTTCATGGATGATGTTTGCTGATCATATTTGTTGGCCAAAATATCCTGTACATAAGTTGAGCCTTGTAACTAGCAAACTAGAAAACGGTATATTTTTGTTATAAAATGAATTTTCCAGAACACAGTGCATCAATCAGGAAAACCAGTAGCTTACTTGTCGACAAAAGTAGTGAATTTTAAACTTGCCGTAGTCGAGTCAATTAGACTTCTCTCTTAAGGCAAACAGTAAACTCCGTTGACCTAACATGAGAGCGCTTTTATCAAATATCCTTGAAGTGACAATCGAAATTTGAAATTTCGCCACTTTCAGTAATCGCATGTGAATTGTTAAAACTTGTAATTGAAAGAATATTTAAATCGTCCAACCTTGGCCTCCTTTTGATAAGAGGAGTGTACAGCATAAGGTTTTATACGTCTTTAAAATGCATGCCTATAAGCTCGTTTTCCAAACATCTACGTCTGTGTGTCTGAGACAAGAACGAGATAGCCACTTCCTGAAGCGCTTGACGGTCAAGCATTTATTACTCACATTGGCTTATCGGTGATGCCAAACTTTTATGTGCTATAAGGACAAGCTTAATTGACGCCATTTCGTGCACGGAGTAAGGGCACTACACAATTCGTCTATAGGAAATGGTGCTTATTTGCCTGGAGGAAGGTAATATTCCCTTAAGCCAAAGCTCTTTCGCTTGCTTTTACCTCAAACCTAAATTCTGCATTTTAAACAATATGCTAAGGAGTTGCTGTGGCGAAACCCTTGGAAACTGCAGAACACTGTTTCATTCTCTCGATTTCAGCGGCAAATACTAAATTTCAACAGTAATTAATGAACTAGTAACACATGCTCATGACCGATTGTCCAGTGAGTTTAATTTTTGCAAGCACTTGCTTCAAGCTTGGTATTTTTGAGTGAAGCTGCTCCTGTTTTGACATTAAGCCAATTCGAAAACCATCTAAAAATAAAGATCTTTCTGTTAAGGAAGGTAGTGAGGTACAATTTAACCCCGAGTTTTTATGCGTCCTGCATTTGGGAGAAATTCTAAAAGTAGTCCGGCGTTATAATTTTTTTAGTTGCTAAAGAATGGGAATAGTTTTCGGAAGGTTTTACCATAAAACCTTTTCAGTCAACCGAGTTAATTCACTGAAAGATGTTATATGCAGTTGGACGCTCAATTTTTCCTCACCTAATCTTTTCATCTAAGCTTACTTTGAAAGCTGACTGACACACTGCTATCTGGTCATCTTTTACTTCTCTAATAAAGGACGCTGAATTTCCGTACGACATAAATTGACAGACATTTTTAAAGCACTTTTTGGAGGGTTGTCGCCTATAACTCGAGTTGGTATCGTAAAATCAGCAGCCTCCTTCATCCGTTTAACGCTTTATGAAGGCGTGGTACAATAAGACACCTTAGTATCCACTCCAAAGTGGAATATTGTGGCAGAAAATATAATCACCAGAGGCATCCTTTTTAACTTTCAAATTTTACAAACATGTTTTAGGGGGCCGAAAATTCGCTGCTGCCAATGGAGCCATCTTTTTTGAGGTCTCAGCGGCAATTAATCACTTAGTGGACGAACTGCTTGTAGACATGGTGGTACAATGGCGCAAAGAGGTTACGCAGCACGAATTCAGTCGTCTGGGCTTCCCTATGCACCCATCGACCCCTGCAATATCAGGTGCTGCTGGCGGTGCCGCAACATCCTCTTCCTTTGAAAATCGAGGGCGTCAAAGCTGGACTTCAACCTTGAGTAACCCAAAAAATGCCCTGCAGCGCATCTTCAAACAACAATTTACCGCCAAGTCATGCATGGAACTACAAAAATCTTAACGCACTGTTTTTCGTCTTTTTGTGTGTGTGGGTGTGTGCGAAAATGTAAGCTCTTACATGTTCCCTTTGTAAATACACTGTGCAAATTGCTTACAACACCTTAGTAGTAATTGTAATTTATTGCAGTGTGACCGATAATGGAGTAAAATGATGATTGAACATTATGAGAGATCCAAGTGCTTGCCAAAAATAGCTATTTATTTTGCTCCGAGGCAAATGCTTATCTTTATTATGAGATCTCTGGGAAACATAAGATCTTACTTGTTCGCCGATATACATGTTGAAGACAATGTTAACCATTAATGAAAGGCGTTCGAGGCAATACGGGCTTTCAGTACAAGAAAAGAACTCAATTATTAAGTGATGGACAATACACTTACTTTCAACAACATATTCGCACGACTGCCTTAGGACAGCCAAACCACAAAAAAAAACCAAGACATGCAGGCTTAGTAGAAAAAGGTAACTGTCTTAAGCACTTCCACAGAGGCTGAGTTAAGAACCGCCACTGCTGAGGTGATCATTAACCGGTGTACGACGTGTGGACACCATTGAAATGCCCCATCCGTGCTTGGATCAGTAGCGCATCTTCCCTTTCGAAGCCTTGTGTCAAAGTGGCCTACCTTGAGCCGCATTGGTTCTATCTCTATACTGCAGACATGCTAATTGGCTCTAGCACGGCATAAAGTTAATATCTTTTAAACGCCTCTCCTATCATTTACCTTGTAAGCCGATCTTAAATTGAGCTAAAGACCGCATCAGGTTCCAATTTCTTCATTTATTAAGAACGCCTGTCAACACGAAGGAAAAGCCGCCTAATATAATTCAATATTCTTAAATGACAGTTCGAAAGCATGTGCAATTAACACTCTGGTGCTTACAGTTCTTCCCTGACAAACGCGTAGCTACTCGCATTTAAAGACCCGAATAATAAATTCAGACGTTACATGTAAAAGTAAATGAGCGTTCTCTCCTTATCCTACTAATGGCCAACTCGTGTTCTGTTTTGACCAATGCAGACGGGCCTAATGGATGTAAAGGTAGCAAAGGCTCTGTATTTGCTATTTTCCCACGCATCAAAGCGGGCAAAATACTCCTGTGGGTCTGACACTGCTTTGAGTTCCTCAATGATCAGTCCTATCTTGGTATATCCAAATTCCCTATCTTTATTCGATCAGTGACCGTCGACACAGCCAATTTTGGTGTCTAACGCCACATCTAAATCCTAAAGCAAGTGCAAAGTTCGTGAACTTGACATTTGAGTTCTTTTAATGCTAGTAAATAACGGTCGAGTTGGCATGGTCACCTTTCAACGCAATAGTTTTCAACTGAGGTCCACTACTTTCCACGGCAAAGTGATTCACACTGTGAAATCTTTATATTAGCTCTTCTGAATTCAAAATCAACCATTGTTTTTTGATAGGTACTACTAATATCTGCCAATGGCGTTAGCAGAACTGGTAACTAAAGGCTTTTCCCGTTTTTTTGCGTTCATCAAATAAGTTTTCAGCAGTTTGCTAGATTAACTACCAGTTGATGAGTTGTAATTTACAATTTTGCCACTAACGCAGGTGGCATTTCACATCGGCTCTTCTTCAAACGTGACTCCGCACTCAAAAGAGCTTAAATTGGCAGAATTGTAAGTCGCTGATGCGATGATAACTAAGAAGCTCAGTTTAATATTTGTAAAAATAGGTAATGTGTACCTCCTTAAGACGGAGGTTTTATGCTCAAGATGACCAAATTGAACATGAGGGAAGTTCAAGTTGGCTACTCTGCTGCAGCTGCTGGAAGGTCAAGTGAAAAAAAATAATTTGTGAGAGATGCTTACATGTCGTATTCCTACAAGGTTTTAAAAATTCTCTAATTCACATTATTAGTTCACAGCTGTCCTACATCTAATCGAAAATAAAAGATTCAGCAAAGTTTAAAGCTCGAACGTATGAGATAGTAACGAAAATTCGCAGCTCTGGAGTGAACTCATTCTAAAGTCAACAACGGGCAGCGTCCTAGACCCTTCTTCTGTGTTGTCATCTGGCAAACGTCAATCACTTACTTTCATTCTAAGGAAGGGATTGTGGCATAAAATTGCACCAGGCTTGACAACTCTTATTCGCTTACACTGTTCTAAGTCAAGCAGTAGATGGTGGGCGTTTTGGAATCAAAAGTGGTTCGTATTTTTTTCGCCACTTTCCAGAGGGACGCGCGTGACCAGCGGGGCGCTTTGACAAGGCCTTCGCCTATGATTTGCTTAAGACGCTGACTTGGACCATTTGCATCCTCTGTGCTTCATCTAACTTGTGCTTCACACTTTATAGCTCCATTTGTTGTACGGCCAGCCGATAACATCTTTGTCTTTGCTTCCTCTGACAGGTTACAGTAAGATTGGCTTCCCAAAGCATTACCCTTTGCAATTATTTTCTAAAAGGGTAATGGTCCCGCCAACTCTAAACTTTAGTTTTAAGAACTTTTGACTCATTAAAACGTTTCTTTGCCTTAGTCTGGTAGATGTATTGTCCTCTTTTTTCATTCGTATTTAAAAAATTATACCATCATACGAGCTACTAATGTAGATATAAAATATTGAGAGGTTTCAAGGGGAAAACATGCTTGATTGTCCAGCTGTTTAGATCTGTCAGGTACTTAAGAATCGTGTCCAGATGTTCTCAGAAAGGTAGCACATTCGAGCACTTCTCAACGTCTACAATGCATTCTTTCCCCGTATCATGTTGCCATTTATCGCCAGGAAAGATTCAGAGCGTCCCATTAATCAAAACTAAAAGCACATCGTAACCCAAAAGGCAACTAGACCTATTTCCTTTACAAAATATATTTGACTTCAGTGCTTTAGACGAATTGCATAGACCGGGGATGAAAGGCGTCTTCCTTTGGCGCCTGACTCTTTCTCGTGTTCTCCCAGGATGCTGCTAATGCATACCATCTGGAAGGATGTGTTAATGAACCATCTTCTGTGGCTTAGTAAAGATGTAAATTAAAAGAACGAGGGATACTTCCAACTCTCTATAAGCTTGATCGACGGGGTTGTGCACTCAGAAGGTGAAGGAGGAGAAACGCGCGATCTTCCTCCTACCAAACTGCTTTAAGTCCCACTTTCACTTAGTGGCTCTGCGATTCGGCCAAATGCGAAAGCCGCCAATACAGTTCTTGAAAGGAAGGAAGTCCCATTTCCATAGGTATAGTTAAGAAGGTTTTGTGACGTTTGGTTTAAGAAAATTACCACTGCATGGAGATTTGATGACTGGTGCGGCTGGTTTGTGGTGTTTTCCAGCCCTACCGACTGCTTCTTGTGAACAAAGCTAGAAGCTAATCAACAAGCACGCCTCGGACGGTGCTCAATCTCTCGTTACGAGAATACCAAAATCCTGATGAATGCACTTCCGCTCGATTGCTTGGTCTTTTGATAACGCCAGCAGCCCCAACCTTCCCTACATCATTAATGCAAATTCTATATGGGGATAAAGTTAATCGCTTTTAGAGAAACCGTAAAATACTGCGCAATCTTGATAGGAGATGGTTTGCAATGTACACCTTTTAAAATGCGATCAGTTTAGCCAGAATGAAGAACTCTTTTCAATCACTTTAATTATCAACTTGCGTTAAGGAGCCGTTTAAACCAGCATTTAAAACTCATTAACACCTGATCATAGATTATGCTAGCCTTAATACCAGAATTCCATTATTCGGCACATTTTATGCCTTTTCAAACATAATTGCTAAACCAAAGTGGCTTGGCTATGAGGGACCGAATTTGTACGAAACCAAATCCCCTTGTAGAGGCTCGCTTAGGCCTCTTTGCACATAACTCAGAGAGAAAACATCGTATATGTTTTAGGTCACCTCTCTCCATCCACTTGATCCACTACCTTGTTGAAACCTTTAAGGTGTGATTTCTTTAGGACAGCAATTTTATTTTTGATCCCATTTCGTGAACATTTGGCAACACTTTAAGACCAGTCTAAGACTGAAGACGAAAGACGACCATAGTTTGTAAATCTTGGCGATGGAGATTTTGTGTTTCAACGAAAAAAGCTCTTTAGGCTTATTGTGAATTAGCTATCATATTTTTGAATTTTTACCTTTTTTGTTTTTGATATACTTTATTCGTATTATCAGTTGGCAAGCCGAATAGCCCTTGTAACGCATAGGTGACTGCGTAGTTCATAGCAGTGACATTAGATTGCTCTTCATTAAATCGCTGAAGCTAGTTACTTTTATGTTAAAATTAACCTACAAAGTCTAAGTGTTCTTGATACTTGTGGGCTTGGTTTGATGCTCTCTAACAGGCCATTTCTGGCCTGAAGTTAATCCGTGCCTGTGCTGTTCCAAGGCACTTTAGAAGTTGGTTTCGTTATGCGAAATAGATTATGTATGTGGCCCTTACAAAACTTTTGTTCCCAAAAGGAATAATTATGGAGGCCGATGCATCTTAACATTACTGTCCCATCGACTTATTTTAACGCAATACATAGGGGTCTTCGATATGACATCATAACTTTTGTGAAAGGATAAATAGCAGTCAGAATTGCTGCTAGTCGCAAGCTTTAGCAGTATTTTAAGCAAGATACAGCCTTGCGGTTGTGTTAAAAACCGCAAGTAGCCGTAGTACTTTGGCCAAAGTATGCACACTCATCGAGAGATGGCCAGGGTGCATATGACAACCGCCAAATCCTCCAAACGGAGTCAAGAATTGAGCAGACCGTGTACGCATAACGTTCTCTCCAGCAGTCGTAATTGTGCAAGTCGTAATTAACGTTTTTTATCAGTAAATGCTATTGCGACGTTTGCAAATTAAGCATTTCAATCTGCAGTAGCTTGGCTGATAAACCAGGTTGCATAGCTTTGGCTTCGCAGGGCCTGGCTATGCGTGGAGGTTCACTTCATAATGTGGTGAGACTGCTCATTCTGTACCTAATGCACGTACCAAACATCAAAATGACGGGATGGCGAAGCAGTTCATGAGAGAAAAGAATTAGTTGCAA